TCACAAACAATATCACAGATTGTAAAATAATACATCCTACTCCCCCCTTAACAAAATCTCTATAAATAGGGCTAATCCCAGTGTCCCATTGGTCCATAATATGGGAGTTGTCCAGTAGCCAGCTCTTCATTGGTCCTGGGGTGATGTCCTCCAGCTGATGATATTTTCGGCATTTAGATGCTTCAAATTGGGCGCCTTCAGTAAAAAAGCCGAAACCGGAAGTGGACGTAATCCTTTACTTCCGCGTTCCATTTGCGTTCCACATGCGTTCCAAATGCGTTCCACATGCGTTCAGTCGTTTTCTCTTAGCCACATCAACAGGGAGCCAGCAGTGTAAATGATCACAGAAACGGCTAAATAGCCAAAGAGTAACAGATTTACTAAATACAATGAATCTCTAAATTAAAGAAAAATGAATTAGTGTATTAAATATACAACAACCTTATCAGACTAGTTCCTCTAGAACTTAAGCTTGTATTTTATAAGTACGTGTATCAATATCTTCACCATTGCATAATTCAAACATATCTGGTTAAAGTGACAGACACCTCCTTACTAAATAGAGAATAAAACATGATCAATTCTTTCCTATAAATGTTCTCTCAATACATCAAATAATTATTGTTTTATAATATATAGCTTAATTAGTACACATAACTGTATTATATAAAACAAACTTGTTTTTATTTTATTATATTTTCCTCTTTTCTTCCCATATATTTACAATGTTGATATTATTTATATTTCTAGAGATACACATGGAATAATTGTAAAAAAGAAGAGGGAGACCCGAGAGTCAATCCAAGAAACACACTAAATCAATCCCAATATTCAGACCCCTGGGTTCAAGGGTCTTTAATTTGTGTATCCAAAAAGTTTCCCTTTGGGATAACTTTTTGACCCTATCACCCCCCCCCTCCCCCCCCCACTTTTAAAGAAGCTCTGTCACCTTCTGCAAAAATTCCCAATGATGACTTGGGTTTCAGCAGAGGTAAGTTATACTTACCTGAAGCTGTCCTCCATCGGCACCAACATCGTCTTTCTTCAGCTCCAGCCGCTTCATCTTTCAGAAGTCCACATCAGTGCTGTAATCTTGCGCATGCTCAAACATTCTAAGTACAAAAGGAGATCTCCATAGTTATTGTATCAAAATTAGCGAGACAATGCCTGATTCCACCAGCGACGGCTTTGGGATCTGACAAAACTTGACGGTGGAAGCTCTGCCTTTTGTCAAGTTTTGTTAAGTCAGGATTTTACCATAATACAAAATAGTCCCTTCTCTGTCTTATGATATATGTTGATTGTTAGGATTTCATTGAAATTCCAACACAGTCTTTTTAAATCTTTTGGTAACAGAGCCAATTAAACCACATTGATTGCCTGGATTCACTTAATAATTAAATCTTTTACCTGCCAATGCACAAATTTCAGTTTGTTTTATTTGTTTTGCATAAAGCAAGCAGATATCTCCATTCTAATACAATTTATTGTTTAATAAGTGTCTGGATTACAAACCTGTTATGGAATTTCAACATTTTCAGGAACATTTTCTCCTAGACACCAAATTGCAAATCATTAACAAATATTGAATTTAACTCTGCTTTGCCAGTAAAAGCATTGCAAATGAAAGAAATAAGCAGAAACATTGTTTCAGTTCTTTTCTTCTCCATATGCTCTCTCTATGACAGGGAACTAAAATGAGGCACCCGGTTGTGGGACAAAACATTGTGGATTTATAAAATTTAATTTTTCACAAATGTGTTTGTAAATTATATGGATAAGTCAAATATCCCTAATTCTCTTCATTGAATTCTTCCTGTACTTTAGGTTCAGAATTTATTCTAATAAATCTGCTTTGGAGTCCCTGGCGGTGAGTGAGCTCACAATTTTAGCTAATGGCCCCCTTTTTCCCCATGTAGCATCATCTAATAATTTCTCCATCTTCACATCTCCCCACAGCTGATCCCCCTGCAAAATCCTCTAAAGACACTTCTACAGCTGACTGTGATGCCCGTGCTCAATGGTAATACTTCCAAACTTCATTCACTCATTTCACTTTCATTGAATGTGTAGGGATGAAATAATTCAAAAGACAAACTTAAAAGGCAAGGCTCAATATTGTCTAATCAGTGTTGCACTTATTGGCATATAATCTTACAAACTGAAATCTTCTGTTAGTAGTAGCTGTTGTTACGAGTATGTGTGGCCATTACGGTGTTCCATTTCTTTACTATAGAGCGGACTAAACGAGGTGTTAGAATTCCATTACCTGAAGGCCTAGATTTCATACGCGAGACCACATCGCACCATGCGGTAAGCAACTAACAAGCCCGGTGTCATGTATGCAGTTGTAAGGTTCGGTCAAGGCCTAACATTTTGGTACATTTCATGCACCCAGGGATTTGTTCTTATTGGCGGTGATCTGCACTTCTCCAAGAGCCTGCGTGAAGTTATTAATGAATATCGTCCAGCACCCACAGCCCCACCGAGCACAGGACCCAATGAATCCATCTGAGGACATCTAAGCTGCGGTCTTGCTAAATAGAAAAAGAAATATAGCCAGTCTCTCATCAAGGATTGGTAAAGATAAGTAGCATTGTAGGGGGTTAGCCCTTAAATCCAACATATCCTTTTTATATGCCTTCTACACCCATTGACACAAGAAACCAAAATCATAATTTAAACCAGAGGAATCTGATCATCAATATCAGGGCTCATCCCTGTAGAGATTCTTTATATGATGTTTTACAAAAGATAAGCCCAAATTTTGTATGTATAGAATGAAACACCTCTCACTTTTACGGCTTCTTAACAGGCATTTCATAACCATTCATTGTAGAGCAATAACGCAAAGGATTCATCTGCTGAGCAATAACACAAACTTTATTTTTTAACATTCACATTGTAACAATTAATACTCGACTCAAGTAACAAGCGGAATACAGCAAAGCATTAAATCACTGTCATTCTTTAGACCTTATTTAAAACTTTTAGAACCTTTGTGGCAGGAGGCGAGGCTGGCAAGACTAGAATGGCTCATTCCGGATATAGTGGCTAAACATGACAAATGCTGCATTTGGTTTGTCTGTTGGGACCATGTGCCCGGCTCCCTGTAAATCAAGCAAAAATGTTAAAAGTGTGTGTGTTAGGATCCTGGAAAATGTACAGAATGTCAACAATTTGCATGCTGTAGAGCTAAAATAATGTACAAAGTGGATATGCTTGGGATGATAAAGGTGAAACTCAGCTTACAGAACAGAGGGAAAAATGTTTTCAAAGGAATAAGCTATTGCAATGATTAACGTGGCAAGGTGTTAAAGGATAGGACAGTGTACTGAATGTCAGTAGGTAGTCAGGTGGTTTTTAAATTCTTTATCAACTTGATATTAGCTTAGTAACTCGGTCTACATTCATAGTATTATGCAGAAATTATTTTGGTGTATATTATATTTCCCAGTGTTCTTAGGGTCTGTATAGCACCATGGGAGATAATTCTAAACCCGTGGTCTATAAATCTTTGATTGGATACAGAGTATTTATTTCATGAAACTATAGTTACAAACTCCACACCTGCTGCATTAGCCCATTACCACACTGCATCAAAATTGTGTACCCACTTCAACACCCCCACTGTGTTGTATAATTAACTCTAAATATAGTGCATTATAAATATAGTGCACAGAATAATTTGTCACAAATTATTCATTGGAAGTTCTACCTTTCAGTATTACAAAGATACATGGCTAACAATGAAATTGTGGAAAAATGACACCTAGGGGTTTTCAGGGTCCTAATTTGGTTTCCAGACGCTGTCCACCATCCCCTTCCCTCGTTGCACACCATTGAGGACTCAACAATATAGCATAGTTCTAAACCCAGAGGTTAAGGATCACTGATAAAATGTAACAAATTGTTGGCTGAGATATTCAAAAGTATTGGAATAAGAGAGAGAATTATGTATGCAGGGGAATTGGGAACTGCACAGGAGAAGGAAAAAAGACAGCGTGGTATTAACCGAATGCTAAGAAGTTAAAATAATGTTTGCCTTTTTGTCATCCGAATTATTTTAGGCACATTTATAACTATACTTGTTTACAGATCACCATGTTTAACACCTTCACTACCAACATGTATACATAAACTTGTTTTTGTTTTTGCCTTGCAATGCAGAGCGAATTTAATAAAGTCCATCTATTTTCCTGTCTGATATTGATCTGATTGTCACCTCCACTGGAAATTAAATCTCACCTGGCCTTATCCTCTAGAGATGGAGTTGTTTAGGCTCCTACACTTTCGTGCTGATGTTGTCCAGTGTGATACAGTTGGCTGGTCTTAGACAGACAACTGTATTTACTGTACAATGCCTACATACAGTCACCATGGCTTTTTTCCACTCAACTCTGAATTATAGCAAACGGAAATCCAAATGGGAAAATGTAGCCTAAAATAGCTCATTATAGCTTATTTATTAGAGTCTTAAGATTCATATTGAAATTCCTAACAATTCAGGTTGTATAATGGAATTAAGTGATGTTGGATTTTGAACAGAAAGACATGTAAAAGAATTGACGGAAGCCAGTGAGAGATAGTTACTGTAGAACAGTGGAGGGTAACCGTCTGCACTAAATCTCCCATGATCCTTTGCCAGAGCATTATGGGAGTCCATAACATCTGAAGTGCAGAAAGAAATACATACTGCTTACATTCTTACCTTGACAGTAACGAAGGTCAAGTTAGAGAATTCTTTCACAAACCCAGCAATTTGCTTTTTCCCTTCCTCAGTATATAGCCACGGACGGTAATTTGCCTTAAACTAAACAACATTTAAATGTCACATACAAGACAAAATCAGGACATTGAAAAATGCATCCTCTGTTCCTTGAATGGTAATAATTTGGAAAAATAAAAACATAAAGGGACGCTATCAGCAAAAAACCCCCCCAAAAAACACTTTAGCTTCATGAAGCCGTTTTGGTGTATAGATCATGCACCTGCAGTCTCACAGTTCAATTCTCTGCTATTTAGGAGTTAAATCACTTTGTTTATACAGTCAGAGTCACACCTCCCTGGCACCATAACAACTTAATTTAGATGACGTTGTTTTGGTGCCCTGAGTGCCAATTTGAGACTGTTCCTCTAATTCCTAAAAATAGCTCAACTGAAATGTTTAAATGGAAGTTATAGCAAAGGCAAGTGATGAAGTTGAATCACAAATCACTGGAAGTCAAGTAAAGAGATGGGCAAGTCGACTCTCACATTGCTTTTGAGACCCAAAGCCATCCGTCAGCATAATTCAAACCTCTTCAGTAATATAACTCACCCTAAAGTGTACTACAATGCAGTGGACATGTTGAGAATTTTATTTTCGGGTAAATGATTTATAAGTTTAAATGGCTAACTATTTCTGGAATGTCGATTTCATCGTTTGAAGTGTTGCGGGTCATGTCATCCACTGGCAGGGCCGCCATCAGGGGGTGACAACCATAACGGTTGTCAAGGGCCCTGCGGCCCTGGGGGGCCCGGCTGCAGTTCCACCGGGCCCACACGCTGATGGGGCCCATCGGGTGGCCCACGCACTTAGGGCCACCCGATGGGCCCCATATCTTCAGGGGCCCGGTCAGCGCTGTGGCCATGGTATAGCGCGACCGGGCCCCTTTAAAAAAAAAATTAGAAATGCCACTCCGCGCGGGAGGAGCACGTGCCTGTCAATGAAGAGGAAGAGCCAGCTGACGCCCAGTCCCATCAGCCCCAGCCACCCTCCTGCAAAGACAAGGTAAGAGACAGGAAGGTGGCTGGAAAATGAGCTGTGAGTGTATGTATGTATGTCATTATGTATTTATGTCTGTATGCATGTCATTATGTGTGTATGAATGTCATTATGAATGTGTGTATTTATGGATGTCAGTGTCTGTATGAATTTATGTATGCCAGTCAGGGCCGGTGCTAGGATTTTTGACTACACAGGCGAAGATGCATTTTGACGCCCCCCCCCCAAAAAAAAAAAAATAATACAATGCATCTTCACCTCTGTGTCTCGTAGCCCCCTTTTGAATTTCTTACCCCCATTAGTGTTGCATATCCACTCTCTTGAATGTCTTATCCCTTTGGCCCCTTTGTGCCTTACACCCCCCTTTAGTGTGTTTCCTACAACACCTCTTATGTATTTCTTACTTCCCCGCCAGCCCCTATCTATCTCTCTTTTTCTTCCACATAGACATAGATACAGGCAAAAATACATACATGCACAAATACACAAACATACAGACACACAACCATACAAGCACACAGACATAATTTTTCAGGCACACAGTCACAAAGATATACAGACACACAGTCATAAAAGGCACACAAACAAACACAGTCATACAATCTACACATACAGGTACATTGTCATACAAACACAGACATACATTCATACAGACACAGGCCCTCACAGAAATACAGACAGACATAAAGAAACATAGAGATAGGCATACAGAGACATACATACACAGATACCGTGTAAATGCTCCGGCCATCAACAGTGGTGGATGCTCCGTGTCAGGCGGACATCGCTGGATCCACCAGTAAAGTCTTCAATAGGAATAAACGCAGGCAACACTCCAATAGTAAGGATGGTATATTTATTGGTAGGTGAACCACCCCATAGAAAGTGTGATGTTTCAGCTCATGCAATAAGGCTCTGCTGAGCTGAAACAACGCACTTTCTATGGGGTGGTTCACCTATCAATAAATATACCATCCGTACTATTGGAGTGTTGACTGCGTTTATTCCTTTTGAATACATACACACAGTCATACAGAGACATACATACTGTATGTCTCTGTATGACAGGTCTGTGTATGTACACAGGATGGCTAAAAGATAGATCCCCATCTGTCGTGCAACTTCAGCAATGCTTTGAAAGCTGGGGCTCTACCGATTCCCCGTGCTTGCAGTATTGTATTTAGCATGGAGCAGTATTTGTGTGTTTGACTGTAAGCATGTGTTTGTATGGAGTATGTTTGTATGATTGTAGCGGTGTGTTTGTATGTAGTGTTTGCATTTGAATGCAAGCATGCATTTATGTGTAGTGTTGGTTTTTGAGCGTAGGTGTGTGTTTATATATAATTTTGGTGTCTGATACAGAGGTGTGTTTGTATGTAGTGTTGACATTTGAATGCAGGTGTGTGTTTGTATGTAGTGTTGTTGTTTGCATGCAGGTGTTTATTTGTGTGTAGTGTTGGTGTTTGAATGCTGAGATATATGCACATATACACATACACTGCCACACACCCACACACTGTGATACACATACACAAAGATACACACACTGACGCACATGCAGATATACATATACACAAACTGATACAAATTCAGATACACAGACACACATATACAGATACACACAAACACTGACAGACATACAGATAAACATACACTGACATACAGACACGCTGACAGACATACAGATACACACATACACAATGATAGACATACACAAAGACACACTAACAGACAGACATACACACACACTGACAGACATTTAGATACACACAAACACACGGACAGAGACATATACATACACACACACTGACAGACATAGATACACACACACTGACAGACATATACAAACACACTGACAGACATATACAAACACACTGACAAACATACAGATACACACATACACAATGATAGACATACACAAACACACACTAACAGACAGACATACACACACACTGACAGACATTTAGATACACACAAACACACGGACAGAGACATATACATACACACACTGACAGACATAGATACACACACACTGACAGACATATACAAACACACTGACAAACATATACAAACACACTGACAAACATACAGATACACACATACACAATGATAGACATACACAAAGACACACTAACAGACAGACATACACACACACTGACAAACATTTAGATACACACAAACACACGGACAGAGACATATACATACACAAACACTGACAGACATGGATACACACACACACTGACAGACATGGATACACACACACACACTGACAGACATAGATACACACACACACACACTGACAGACATGGATACACACACACACACACACACTGACAGACATAGATACACACACACACACACTGACAGACATGGATACACACACACACACACACTGACAGACATGGATACACACAGACACACTGACCAACAGGTTCAGGAGGGGGGCTTACCTGGGATCCAAAGTGCTGCCTGAGGTAGTTGGGAGTTGGAGGAGCTGGTCCTGCCCAGCCCCCCTCCTCTCTGCCTTCTGCTGCTCTAGTCTTCTTTGGAGGACTTCCTCCCATGCTGATTAGAAGGGGGCCGGTGGTAGCTCCGCCCCTGCTGGGCGCCAGCCGCGCTGTGTGCTACAGTGGGAGCAGGGATATGACGTTCATATCCCCACCCCCTCCACACAGTCTGCGGCACTGCAGGGTGGCGCTCGGCCACACTACAAGAAGTGACCGGCAGGAGAGGGGAGCTGTGCGCTTCCCTCCTGCCGGTCACCCGGACATTTGCGCCCCCGGGCCGGTGCGCCCTAAGGCGGCCGCCTGTGCCGCCTTATGGACGCGCCGGCCCTGAACCTATTGAAGCTCTTTCCAAAGACCGATTATACACGGGAAAGATGTGCTTGGACTATTTCAAATCCTAATAATGGACTCAATGATGATGGCAAAGCATGCTGAAATCAGTAAAAGTTGGGACAGATGCTTGTGAAAGACTTTGGATGCACCTATGAAGGTGATGCAAGAAAAGACTTTGCCAAATAGTTTATCATTGAATGACTACCGCAAACAGCCTTCTTATGCTGAAAAGAAGTGATATGCTAATTCTGGACATTGCTATTATGTTTCCAGACAGAAGATGACCGGAAAAAGAAATAAAGGCTGATAACTGTCAACACCCAGCTGTTTCTCAAGATGGAACATGGTACTGAGAAAACCTGATTGACTATCAAAGCACCTCACAGTACAAGACACAGATTGTTGCCTACAACTCAGAAAAAGTGGTTAATAGGAAGGAGCAGAAGAAGAGGAATATAGATTTCCTACTGGAGTGAAAAACCATCCTGGAACAATATTCTGTAACAATGAACTTTACAATGACATTTGGTGGCATATGAATTTGAATTCGGAAGAAACACATCAATTAACAAAAGAAACCTTGATGCAATTAATAAATAATAACAAGACCAGCCTACTAAGAGCAGATGCCCTGCCAAGAGAATGGAATATAAAAGGCCAGCAAAATCTTTCAGAAACCTGACATCATGGGACACTTGTACTAAAGCAGCTTTTCTTAAACTCTACATATTATGTACAAAGCAAGAAACTCCTGTAAACATAAACACAGAGACATTGATACAACAAGGAATCTGTAATGGGTCTATTGCAGATGTGATCTACTGATGTACTCCTTGCTCTTTTGGTATAACTATACCAATCAAAATGTTAAACGGCTCCATAGAATCAAACGACAAAGGATTCTTGCTATATTCTGGACTTCCAGGAATGTGGTGCATGGACAGAAAAATTATAATTACTAAAGCAATCATGCTATTTTTTTCCCTGTATCAGAAATGTGTCAGTGACAATGTGTAATATAATACAGATACTATAATTAATGGTATAAAATAAACACATAATGTGTTAATTGCAAAGGTGGATAGACTTTGTGAATATCTGAAAAGTAATTGAAAATTATTGCTAAAATGCCATATGCAGCTGTGGTCTGGCCTACAAACAAATATATTAGAGATAAAGTATAAGAGCATAACAACTAATTACTGAAAGAGTCGTAGCATAGCCTTGAAGCTTGTTTATGCATTATTGTTATTGTAATTCGTCTGGGACAAAATGGCGTAAACATATTATGCACTGAAGGTAGGTTATTGCTTAAAGAAGCAGTTATGAAAAACAATATGTTCCATTTCTAACACCTTGTCAGTTTGCAATATATCTTAAAGACAAAGTACACAATTTAAGAAATACAACATTTCATTCTAAAACTTGTAATATTTGCATTTGCCCATAACAGGAGCAGCACCACTTCAGGTAAATTACACAATTGATTCAGGGAGACAAAATCATACCCTTTACACAGATACAAACAGATTATAACCTACCAAGTACAGCTCGGTTTTCATACTTCCAATTGATTGCATGGTTAATTAAACACTACATACCTGCAATGAAAATTGTACATGAGCAGCGGCTGACGACCTTCAAATGAGTCCTAATAACACAATTACCGGCATGAAAAACTCTCTTTACTGTATACCAGCCTGAACAGAGGCCAGAACATTAAACAATTACCGTTCGTTCGAGCCTGGGAACATGAGCTAAACCTCACTCTACCTGAGACGGCTTGGAAAAAAATGTTCACTACCCAAAAAAAACTAGCCCTCTGCTCAACCCACATTGAGCTGTCTAAGAAACTGATATACAGATGATACCTAGTGCCAACCTGGTTACACCACATGACCCCCAGTG